AGTGATGTGTAACCTTCACTAGAACAGGAGAGGTGAATCGTGAGAGTTTGAGAATAGTAAAGAATGGTAGGAGGAAACCCTTAACCTTGAACAGAATTACAAACCCTGAACAAATTCTCAACCCAACCCATCTGGACCCTAATGGATACCCTTGACCCAATCCCACTTGACCCTAATGGATCACTCGACCCATATTGACATGCCCATAGAATGAACGGGTATGGATGTGTTTGAAGTGGGTGGGTTGGGTCAACATTACCACCCCTAGTTGAGTAGTGAAGGTAGCAAGCATTCTTAACCCTAGGTATACGCTGTACGCAGGAACAACTACATGCTTTTACTAACTTGATGAATTACACCATTAAGCAAAGCACATCTGCTAGGGATGAGGGATCCCAACTGTTGAGTCCAAATTTATTCCAACTTGATTTATAGTCACACATCTCAAATATATTTTATAGATTTTGTATGACCCCATTATTAACGAGTACGACACATGTTTGGGATGTGCAGCTCTAAATTATAAATTATTAGTTAGGATCTGTGCGATTTACGGGCTTTGTTGTAAGAAATTGAGCTAGAAAGAGTCTTATGCCATTCCTTATTAGGTTAAGTCAGACTAAATTCATTGCAAACATTATTGGTATATATATTGTTTGATAAATTTTCATTAAATTTTTATTTTTAATAATATTTATCATACCAATGTTTTAAAGATTAACCCAGGACCGAAACTGTTTTGGCCACTAGTTTCCAGGGTAGTGGTTCAACTATCCAGTCCAAACGAATGACCTATTGCAACTTAAAAAATAATTAAAATATATTAAAATAAAAATAAAAAATGGCCAAAAATTGTTTTTTGGGTCAAACTTGTTGATGGTTAAACTGCCCGAGTCAATGGGTCATTGACCAAGTGAAAGGTTTTTGGCAAAGAATGGTTCATGGGTGAAATGAAACCAGTTGTCTAAACGATTTCCAAGCCAAATGGTCCAACTGCCCGAGTAGATGATGGTTCAAAAATCATGGATTATACAATATAAAATATTATATTTTTTATAAGAAATATAAAATAATATGCCATACACATTATCTATTAAGGGGTTAGTATTTGACTCGAGGTAGGTTGGACAAATCATGATTTTTGAACTATTGTTGACTCGGACATATTAACCATTTAGCCTGGAAACCATCCAGGCAACAGGTTCCATTTCACCCTTAAATTGTTACTTTTCCAAAAACCCTTGACTTGGTTAGCAACCCATTTACCMAGGCAATCAAACCATCAACCCGGACAATGGTTTTTTGCTATTTCTTTATTTTAATAATTTTTTATAACAGGTCATTCATTCAAAGCAGATGATCGAACCGTTGACCCATAAACTGGTGGTCAAAATGTTTTGGTTCAAGTTAGTTTTTAAAACATTGGGACAAATACCATCCCACCCTATCCTTGATCACCAAAGTTTGGGGTTCTTTGAAACACACCCTAAACCCAACCAACAATTAAAATAATTGCCCTGATCGGGACGAGGCAATTGGAGCCCTAGTAGGAGCAGGTTAGACTGCCATCTTTACTTGGGTTTTTCAAATGCACTATAGAAAAGTACAATTGAAAAAATGAAAGTTTGGTTGGTATCAGGTTGAACCCCTAAAGGGTTGGGTTGGGAAACTATATGTCATTATGTTGGGTTTGAGCAAAAGCATTAGAGAATTAGGTTAGGGTGAAGGCAAACACATATTGAACCCGATTTGTTGTATTTTGGTGCTGCCAAATTTGGAGCCGAGGGCAGCGGAGTAATTCCCCAAGGGCGATGACTCCGATGGTCAAATTAGCCGAAGGCTTAGAGAAAGCTAAGGTCACCACAAGAGTATAAGTGATAGCTCAAGTATGCTTGTGTACCTTTAGCTATTGCATCCCTTTTATAGTGGGAGTCGCCCAGGTGTTCACATAGGGGGACTCAAAGAGGCATCGGCCAACCACGACCCCCTAATTAGTGACTCAGGAGTAAATGCACCCAAAACGTGCACCCATATTAAGTGCTCCATAATCATTAAGGGCAGGAATTACCCAATTGCCCTTAGGAGATTGTCCTCTGTCAAAAATACCCCTAGTCGATGCCACATGTTAGGGTCTAGCAGACCAACCAAATATACCTACATCATATTTATTTTTTTTATTATTTTAAAATTGAATTGAAATCAATTTTAAATTAGTAATTTTTACTTGTATTAAATTTTAATTTATTTAGTAAATTGGTATTGATGTATAATTCAAGTCATGATATTATTCTAAGCTTACTATTATTCAAATTTTTTAATAATGTTATAATTTGTTATTATAAATTGAGTGTGAAGACAAACCCATACTAAACCCAGATTGTTGTGTTTATTTTTTATTATTTTAAAATTGAATTTAAATCAATTTTAATTTATTTAGTAAATTGTTATTGATGTGTAATTTAAGTTGTGACATTATGCTAAGTTTACTACTGTTTAAAATTTTTAATACAGTTAGAATTTGTTATATATTAAGTATAATACTATTGTAATTAATTTTACAATTATTATTGTTAAAATTGAAAATCTGTAATTTATTTTGATTTTTATATTATGTTAATCATTTCAAATGGAAATTAAATGAATCAGTTTATGAATTAGCAACATTAGTTAACTAAATAATTAATTTTGCAAACTATGATTATTAATTGAGTTTAACATATAATAATACAAGTGATGTCAACACATGGGCCCATATTTTAAAGAAATCAAAAGTTCAGTCTAAGGAGAACTTGTTGATGGAAGTCATTTCTTGATAAATCTTTGATACAAAAACTGACATAAATGGGGAACTTTGCTTTGCAGCTAGAAGAACAAAGCACTAAAGATTTGCTCAAATAAATTATTAGTTAAATAACAGAAACCTAATATACAATGAAAATTATATATATATATATATAGATAGATAGATAGATAGATAAATAAATATGTATATATGTATATAAACAAAATCCATAGTGGACATATTTATCTCCTTCACCCTACACTGCCAAAATGGGTCTAATGTATAGAGCTTTACAACTCCAAGATACACAACCTGTATAATTCCACAACGGGTCTCTTTTATAACCTATATATAGGTTGTTCTAATCTAACAACCTGTTCTACTTCGGCAATGTTGCTGGAAACCAGCAGTTTCGCCAATATATGATAAAAACCTATACTATACATTAAAAGCAGCAACCGGTAATCCAGTTTGACAGCACATATTCTTGATCTGATCTGAAGATCCAGTCAGATTCCATAAATGGTACTTTGAATCTGAATTCGTTAAGGATGTTGGATATCTGAATATAATCAGATTCGATTCAAATTCTAAAAATTTTAATAAATTATTAAAAGAAAAAACATAACAATTTATATAAAGAAAAACAATTTTCAACTACTTTCATCATATATATTAATATTGCACGTCTTTTTATAAGTATATATATATATAAAAGTAGGATCAGATCAGATCCTTTCAAATTGGATAGGGGGTGATCTGAATTCAATCCGAATATATAATATATTATATATAATATTTTATATTTCCTATAAAAAATATAACGTTTTGGGAGAATGATGGTTCAGCACAGGATTAGAATTTTTAGGCCCAAAGTACAGTTGGGGTAGGTGCCAGCTCAGAATTGATGCCAATTCATGGGCTGGCATTGGTGTATAGAGTGGAGGTATTTGACATTTTGAATGTTTATAGGTCTGCAATGGAATTCAGAAATCTGCATTGGGCCTATCCGTACTTTTCCATAACATTTTATATTATATAATCCATGGTTTTTGAACCATCATCTACTTGGACGGTTGGACTATTCAACTTGAAAATTGTCTAGACAACTGGTTTCATTTCACCCTTGAACTATTCTTTGCCGAAAACCTTTGACTTGGTCAGTGACCCATTTGCTTGGGCAGTCAAACCATCAACCAATTTGACCTAAACAACAAATTTTGGACATCTTGTATTTTAACTATCTTTTTATTATTTTATATTTTAAGTTGCAATGGCTATTCATTTGGACTGGACTGTCGAACCACTACCCTAGAAAGGCAGTGGCCAAAATGGTTTCAGTTCTGGATTGATTTTTAAAACATTGGTATAATCAACTTCAATAAATATTATTAAAATAAAAAATTAACGAAATTTAATACAACTTTATCAAAAAATAATGTTTGTTATGAATTTTGTCTGATTTAACCCAATAAGAAATGGCATAAGAATCTTCTAGCTCAATTTCTTACAACAAAGCCCGTGCATCGCACGGGTCAAGGAATAAAGACTCCGTTAGCTTATGGTGCCTAAAGAGTATTTCAATTTTTCCCCCTTTACTTCTCACATCAAAGGGTGGCCGAGGTCAACTTAACCATGACAACGAAAAAGTCCTTCCTCAACGTTATCAAGGGACACAATACACAAAAAAATTATAATGGGCTTCATTTTGCGAGGTTTTGGGCCTTTCGGCCCACTATATGAAACTCAATTCCTCGCCACTCACACTCTTATCTTTTTCATGGAAATACTTCTTAGGGTTGGATTATTCCAAATTCAGAAAGACAATAAGTCAATAACGTGCTTTCAAACTTTGTTTCTACTGATATTCGACTTCTCTCTCTCTCTCGGCCTATTCTGATCACTTTTAAATAGAGAAACCAAATAATTTGAGTTTAATCTCTTGTTAAACCCAACACAAATGCAGTCACCAGGGTATTAACTTTCTGACAAAAAAGATGCCAATAAATCCTGTAATATTTTATTAAATAACTAAGATGACAATTCTCCATCATGCTTTATTAGGGACATGCATTCGTTTGCTCGTGTAAAGTTTTAATTCAATGAAGCTCGATAACATTTTAAATTTGAAAAAACAATCTTCAATCCCTGCAACTCTCTTTTACGCACGCGTACAGAAATATTGCTCACCACAAGATGAACCACGAAAGCAGAACCCTGGCGGAAAAATGGGATCGATCCATAAAGAAACAAATATGCGCAAACAGATGTTGAAGTTGGTATCCGGTAGTATGACATCGGATTTACATATATAACATGGAATGAAGAAGGATTAATATTGAGTTGTTGAAATGCTAGTCGCCGGCGGCCGGCCTGAATAATTAGTCAGCTCATGATCACCGCACAGGCACCTTGATCCAACCATTAGCAAAAGCAATCGCTAAGATGACAAAGGGTGTCGACATACCAAAAATGATAATGTAGGGCAGAGGAGTCTTCATGGGGTTCTCCCCCTCCCTCTCTCCTGCTGTCTGCCAATACCTAAGCAATTCATTCATATTTAGCTTTCTTTTTCTTTCTTTGTATCTGTCACTGAATTAACTACTAAATGTGTACTGTAATAAAAAAAAAAAAAAAAAAAAAACAAGGAAGAAGATGGAACCATTTCTTACTGCTGTGGTTCTTCTTCTCTAGTGATGAACTTTTTCTTCCCTGCTGGCTTCACATCTCCATCTCCACCACCTACCAAAAATTACTCATCAGTCATCATTTTTTAAGCCTCGTTTTTTAATATAAATTGCAGGGAAATAAAAGAAAGAAAAGAAGGAAATTAAATTAAACTATCTGATCATGCCTTGATGATAATTCGCCATTTTTATTTACCTAGTTTCGCACGAATTTTGGAACGCTGAGACTGAGGCCTCTTCCTGTGTGGTGACTGAAAGAGGGTGCAACAGATAGGAGGAGGTGACGATGATTTGGAGGGGAAGAAGAGTGAAGGTAGGGTGGAAAGAGAAGAAGAAGAAGAGATACAGATACTACACACCTTTGCTGCCATTTTCCAAATCTCTTGCCCGTTATCCCTTCACCCCATTTCTTATCTTATACCTGTGGACATATCGATGGACACATGTCTTTTTCCTAGACAACGACTCTGTTAATTCCATAAAATGACCATAATGCCCATTTTGTCCATTAACTCAATGTCCCTTCCCCTCCGGGCTTGCACGGGCTCCCGATAGACCGCGCCTCACAAAACATCCCAACCGTGGGCATGTCTTGCCATACATCGGCAACATCTTCTACATTTATATTTATTATTTATGGAAAGATGTTTTTGATATAGCATGAGATGTGGCTGTGCGATTGGTGTGAGGAGCATATCTTCCTTTTTTTATATAGCGACTCTGCCAATTCTTTAAATGACTATAATGCCCATTCTACCCATAAGAGATGGTTGAAAGCTCAGATCGTGGATAGAAGATCCGTAATGCATCGGTGAAACACCAAGGATAAAGGGACAATTGGATACAATACGCATCAGACGTGGCCTCACTTTTCATGGGCCATTTTTATAAATGCATCTACAAAATGGGCATACAAATAAAACTAGATGTGAGGCATGTCTTGTTGAAGATGGGCTGGGCTGGAGTTGGTTGCGCAGCGTACTGTGAGATGTGGTTAGAGACTCCCGTACTGTTCATTGTTCAATAAGCCTGAGCCATGTGCCCATGTGTCATGTGCGATTCGTCTCTCTTAAATGCACTTTGGGAGAAATGGCATATTGATCAGAGAGCCAAAGCGTGAGTATAATACGTAGGTCAACCATTGGGCTCTCTCTCACACATCTAATAACTTGAAACAAGACTCCAAACTCCAAGGGGTTTATTAATACAAGAAATGGAATTAAAGTAGGAAAAAATATTTGACAAAAGTCTTATTAACAACAAAATCACAATATTGTCTATAATGTATCCTCGTTTATAAAGACTAAATACAATTTTACAGGGTCATTTTTTTCATTTTTTCTCTGACCCTATTTTCAACTTTTCATTTTTATCCTTATCTCTATCAATTGGAAAGATCGAAAGATAAGGAACTTCATGTGATTAGGGGTGTCAATTGAATTGGATTTGGTCCAATCCGGTCCAGTCCAATGTGAGTCCATTACAAATGGACCTGGTCCAATCCAGTCCAATGAATATTTTGGACGGTCTAGGGACTGTTCAATCTGTTTAAATTCCTGTTAATTTAGATTGGTTTCAACTCAAACCTGATCCATTGACATCTATGTTCTAACTTTCTATCAATGAATCAGATATTGGCTCAATCCAATATAAATTCATTATGGATGGACCAGGTCCAATCCAATATGTCATATTGATCCATCCAGTCCGTCCAAATTCAATATGTCTTATTGGTCCATCTAATCCATCCAAATGAATTTTGATTTGGACGGAGTCCAACCCAAAACCGGTTCATTGACACCCCTACATGTGATTGCTAGTGGAATGGTGGGAAGATCAACTGGGTCAGGTTGAGAAATCTTTTAAGACCTACTTGCTGGCCAAATTTATAATAGCTATCAGGTTAATTTGGGATGAGTGATAAAAAAGTATTTGATAATAGGAGACCCAGTCAAGCCTCAGTGCTAGAAACAATGAAATTCTATTTACAGTATTTGGATCTTAAGGATTCAACGACAATGGCAAACATCATAAACAATCATGTTCAACAAGATGCAAGTTCAGCTTTATGTGGATAGATCTTTTGATCCTGATGAGGGGTGATTTAGTCAATCAATCATATTATGACACGTGGCACGTTTGAACTGTCTCATAACACCTCGGTGCTAGGCAAGACGAATATACCGACCTGAGGTGACTGACAGAATGTTCAGTGACACGACAATACATACCACCTCGGCTATGAAACTTGAGGACCTTGAAGACCGACCTACACTCTTCCGACTCAGGTAGTCAAATGACCTAACTAGTCAACCTTTGGGGTTCTGACTCACCAACCTGGTGACCTGCATATCAAATTCACTTAACCTAGGGTACTGTACCCATCCGTCCCAAGTCGGGCAGTAGCACGACACTCACCTAGCATGGATCACCCCGCCCTCCGTATGACTCGAAGGAGAGGCAATGTGGGAAGAATGTGTTAGGCCCACATTCACCACATGCCCCGAAGATCACGGGTTGATAACCTTCGACATTCTCAGATGTCCCGAACACGGAACTAGGACCCTTATGCATATATAAAGGCACTTCCTTCAATCACAGAAGACATGCGTGATTTTATTCTCACTAGTTCTCTTACTTTCTAGCATTTTCAAACATTCTTTGTCGATTTAAGCATCAGAGTGCCCATTTCAGATAAAACACCTTGAGTATTCTAACTATTTTTCTTACAGTTCGGCCAACCGACCTCATCAGCTTAACGTCTGAATTGTCCTCCAGCAAGGAGCTACCAGATTGTACACCATCATATTCCAATACTGGCAATATTACTACAACTTATGTAGTGGTGGGTAATAGTTAAGAGGGTAATAGTCAGGTTCTTCTGTTCTTAGAGATGCAACAAATGTAGTGGTGAAAATGCAGAATTGACTGAATGTGATTGGATGGAGCAACTTTGGAAGGATCAAGCCTTAGCTATAAGTAAATGCTTTCAATCAATACATTTTATAAAGCTCATGTATCTAGAAGTCTTAGATCTTATGGTTCACAATATAGTATATGATGTGTGTAAAAGCGGAACCAACAATCAACGGAGTTTAATTTATGAAGTATGAACTACCAAAAAAGGGTAGAGAGTCTAGATGTAAATCGTTTTGCCATGTTAATACAATTTTCTGTTTTGATTTTTGTAAAAAAAAAACAGAGGGAGGATATTTTTATTCATATAATATACAAAAAAGTTACATTAAAAGATAAAGTAGAATTTTCATAAGTTTTTAAAAGTGTGGAGCACTTTATTTGAGGCATATGGGTGGGGAGGTAGAACAAATAAGGTGTCGTTTGGCAAGTATCTTTTGAAAGATCTTTTGGAAGATCTAACAACCCAAAGATATAGTGGACTTTTACATAAGACGAAATGAAAAAAGACAAGAAGCTCCATTTCTAACTTCCCAAAATAAGCTCAAATTGAGCTTCTTATATCTTTTTAGGGCATAGTCTTTTGGAGGCTAGATCTTCCCCCAACCAAACGGGAAAAGATGAAAATACAGGATGCCAAGCTTCTAAACCTCTAACAACCTGCATGGAAAGATACACCAAATGGGGACTTAGTAGAATAGCAGCTAACTACAGAGACAAGGGGTAAATCAGTCAATTGGTAAATCCTAAGGGGGGGGTCTTCCCATTTGGTCAAATTACAGGGAATGTATGAGTGATGATTATTTTTTTTAAGGCTTCATTTGCTTTTTGGGAAGTTACTTAATTCTTACCCAAGTAAGTGCATTTGCCCAAGTTCGTTTATTTCCCAAGTAAATAAAACAATAACCATTTTAGTTATAAAAAGCTATTAATAAAAGTGGAAATTTTGTCCCATCCAAGTGTTGGCAACTTTACCTGGGTGCGAAAGTTATTTATCCACTTGGAAGATGGGTAAGTGGTAACCAGGGAAACTTTTTGCCAGTCGGTTTTTAATTTGTTGGTACAAGGTCTATAAAGTACATACAGTTGGATTTTAATCTCATTAGAGATTAAATTCAATGGGGTTTGATTAATCAATTACATGGAAAATACACTTGCACACATGTCTTGAAAAAATAGTTTCTCTTACTAAAACCAGTTTTCAGCTTATCCTACATTGGAAAATTACAAAACTTGTTTTGAGTTTTTAAATATGAGCTTATTTACACTCCTTAGAAATAAAGATGGGAGTATGGAGGCTTGCTACTGCGCAATGCGCGTGTGTGCAGCGCAATGAGGCACTTTAGAGGCATACTTTGCTTACACTTTGCACGCACCTACGTGCCTCGCGAAGGGTGGCTTTGACTTTTGGTGCGAGGTTGGCCATTGATGTTTCAATGGTCACAATTTGATCGGGTGTGATCAAGAGCCACTATTCAAAGTTAATAGTCATTAACTGTTAAATACCTTTTAACAATCACAACGTTCGAAATTATGACTGTTCAATGAGCCTTTTCTAAACCAGCACCTTCTTCTATATGCTACTATCTCACAAAAGGTTTCTTTGGAGGCTTTTCAACTTTTCTGGTTACAAATTCTCGCCCAAGGCTCTATTGTATCTTGGGAATAGATATGCCTGTAACCTAACAACAAACTTAGTAAAACCGAGTGGGGGAAAATAACATTTTAAAGATAGTGTCTTTAGACATATCTCAGAGCTTCTCCTCCAAATTTTCGTGACCCCATATTTTCACACCTACAACCTTCGGTCCACCCACTCATTTTTATTGGATTTTGAGGACAGGTAATTTGGTCCTCCCAATCATCTCGCAACACGTGGCCTTCAAGTGACACCTCGGTGCTTGAGTCACCTTGCCTAGGTTGACCTCCACCTCGGCAAGGGAAAACTGATAGGATCCCCAACTCATGGCAACCTATCTTAGAGACTGGCTAAGCTGTAGGAATCCATGGTGGCCTACGAGGAGAGCTCGGTAACTTAGACCAATAACACGTTACCAACCTGAGATCTCCGGTGTGCGTGTACCTCGATCGTTAAACCAGCTTACCGCAATGCACACCTCAGAGTTAACCAAATAGATCGTAACCTCTGTGTAGATCTTGTAACCGACACATTAATGCGCCGAACTAAGCGGAAACGACTCTATGAGAAGTTGAAAACCGTTGTAAGAGGGCTCTGACAGCAGGTGCCTATATAAGGCACTCATTTCTACCTGTAAAGGTATGCACTAACATACACTCTCAAGCTCTCTCAATCTTTAATAGAATTCCCAAATATTTTCTGACTTAAGCATCGAAGTGACCTCCCCTGGTAAAGAAAACCCGGGCACTCTAACTCTCTCTTTCGCAGAACATATCAGCTCGGCCACCCTTTAGCTCGGGCCTGACCAGGAGATATCCGAAGCAGAGT